CGTAACCCGGTTGAACGATAGATAGTGTTGTGGAAAACTGAACATAAAAAAAAATGGAAAGCGGAAAAACTTTGAAACTTTGCTGACACAATGCCAAATGGCAAGCGTACACTTTGAACCTTGTTCCATGTTTTTTCGTCGAATGTCTTGGGCGCAGTGACGTTTGCAAGTTCACAATGACAACTTTGGTCGAAAACTGAAATCCCAAACTTGACTCGACATGAAAGTTCATATCATTACAGCCTGTTTTCTTAGAATGTTCACAAAACCACTCTTAAAATTAATGGGGTAAGAGAGGGAATACACAGGTATATATTGGCCTTGTATATATCCGTTTCCGCGAAATAAAATTTGGATTTTAACTTTTTTTAAGACCGTTACCCTGACAGGTGGCACATTTGAACCCTTTTGAGGTTAAAACAGCTGTCAAAAGTCGGCCATTAGATCTAATTAAGCCAAATTAACAGGAGAGCTTCCTCACACTCTACTAAAGCTTGAAATGTAATCAGTTTTTGATTGAAAGTGTCGACAATTAAATTATATTGATGGAGATGAAAGGTTACAAAAGTGGTGAACTTTACATCTAGAGAGAGAGAGAGAGAGAGAGTAACTATTAATACCTTCCGAATGGAAAACCCCCTTTCAATACGGCAGTTAGCACATCACGGTAATCAGATGACAGAAGAGCACTAGAGAAATAAATGAAAGACAGTTGAAATGAAAATTCAGTGAGTCAATTAACGTCGTCCTTTGGTTAAACTGTAAGAGATAATAAGTCAAAAGTATGCTCAAGAAACGCTACAATTTGAGCATACTCGTAACATCTGATTAACATCTAACTTCTCAATTTAATAACCATACATTATTACACAATTCGGGCAGTCAGAGGGCCAATAACTAAAATCAACCAATCAAAATGCTCTATTGCCGCCCAATATTCTCTCAGTACGGCCCTCGCGTTTGGTTAATCAGATATATTTATCCAGCAAAGAGGTAACGAGAATACTCAAACTTGTCAGGTAGAAGTTCTTGTCTCGATCTAACACCAAATTCTCGTAACTACTTTATAAGGAAATGGGTGGCAGCTAGAGGGGGAGAATTAACCATCAGATCTTGCGAGTTCTGGGGCCCGTTTCTCGAAAGTCCCGGTAACTTAACGGGCCCGAAGCCATCTTTTAAAATAAAAATTTAAAAGATGGGAAAGCAGGTTATGACATCCAAACCAGTCCTTTTTGTTTCTTTAGCTGATAGTTTTATTGCATCATTTTCAAAATTTTTGAAATTCCCATCTTGAATGAAAACAGAACAGCTTTACGGGCTCGTTAAGTTAGCGGGACTTTCGAGAAACGGGTGCCAGGCGTCAAAACTTTGACTTTGCAAACTGGCCCAAGACGCAAACCCCTGTAGTGTTCTCATACTGTTGCACCTCGGCTCAATGTGAAGAAAAATAACTCATAACTTGAGTCCAGAATGCCTTTTGATATAGCTGGTAATATTATCACAATAGGATTAAAAGGAGATAAAAAAAGAAAAAGGTGTGAGACTTGGTTTCGTCACAGCTATGTGGCCTGATTACTGAGTAAGATTTGAAATGACGACGCCCTTGGTGAAATTTTGAGCACATTTGAAATACAATTTTCAACTGTTACGTCACGGTTTTCTCTGGAATCTTAAGACAGTGTTGGTGTCATGATTAAATACAAAATTTTTAACGGCAGAAGTAAAAACCATTTGGCTTCAGAATCGAATTTATCTTTTATAAATTTAGTTCATTACCATGCATGATTCAACATTGCACACGTTCCATCCACACTGGAGCTGGACAACGCTCGTCTGAATGAAGTAAAAGAATATCACAGAAAATAGATAATCAACCTTCTGTAAGTATAAAAGTCTTTCCTTAATTTAGTGGCCCATGTGACAAAAGCTTTCCTTAACATAAAACAACTAGGATTATCGCTATCAATAGAGAGACTTAGCACCGCTTTTACGTGAAACGGCACACGTCAGCTTGCCCTTTTAACGTTTCACGCAAAATTGCGTGAACCTTGCTGCTTCAGCTTCGCGTAAGCTCAGGTCATGCTGTATTTGAAGGCGCCTTTATATGACTTATGAGAAATAGCTTTGGTGCCCTTTTTCCGGCAATTAACTGCTACTCTGTGAGAGAAAAAGGGAAGAAAATCTTGGTAAACTGTTACACGGCAAACGCGAAACAGGTTGCTTTGACGTAGAAACGGCAAAGCGCAACCGTCAAACGGGAGAAAATGACGAGAAAAACGTGGTCACCCTTTGCCGTTCACGTTTCACGTAAACTCGGTGCTAAATCTCTAAAATATTGGTCCATTGCAGGCAGTAACAGCGAGAAATTTGTCAGGTCTTTCTTATTGAGTCTGGCCCTGGTTCTTTAATACTCAACAATAGACAGTATTCTTAGTAATATAGTTAATAGCAAGTTATTAAATCAGTAATAAATAAATAGCATATAGGGTGCTTTAGACATCCTAAAAGTTAATTCACTGGTTTTGGCGGCAGAAAAAACTAGTCATGAAAACTATTCACAGCTTGAAATCACAACGCTGTAAGAAGACTTTTTGGAAGTTAATATTCAGGAAAATAACCAGAAACAAACCTGACAGCCTTTTGTATGATAAAGAAGACATCATCCACCATGCTGGAGGTAACAGCTTCATCATCACCACCCTCTGTGATGTCCATCTTGACAGCCTAAAAATTACAACATCAATTTATCAAAAACACTAATAACACTAAAAACCATCACAACTCCAATTTAACTATTGGACCTCAGGGCTCGACGCTAACGTTTCAGCTTACTAACCTACTGGCTAGAAAGAGAGGAACTAGTTTGGTCAATTTGAGTTTTTTACTAGCCATACTGGCTAGTGGAAATCGAAAACCACTAGCCAAAACTGAATTTCTTCTATTCTATGACTGGTTGGCTACCGTTGGCGTCAAGCCCTGGACCTGCACTAACTTTTTATTTTTAATACTGCAAAAAGAATACATAAATTTTTATTTTCAGTAGCATAGCAGGACTCACCTTCATCACCGTTTCTCTCATAAAGTACTCTTCCATGTAAATGTAGTTTCCTATCAGCTCCTGCAAAACAGGTGAATCATTTAAAGAAATTATGAGAAGTGTGATGTAGAGAAAGGAGCCTTTTCAAATGGGTGTAGATATATGAATGAAGACTCAGTTAACTCAGTTTTAAAACTCTGCCTTTCATTTAATTTATACCAACATAAAGATCTAGACACCAAGGTGAACACAAGCACCATGAAGATGTTACTAAAATAAATTGATGTATAAGCAACAGTCAACAAAAATTCAGATTTCCTTTAACAAAATATTAATTTTTTATAATTTGAAATATGTAAGATGGAGATATTTCTCCTTTCCAAGATAAAATATATACATACAGGGCTCAACACTAACAGTAGCCAACTAGCCACACACGAGTAGAAATTCAGTTTTGCTTGGTGATTTTCAATTTCCACTAGCCAGTTTGGCTAGTAAACAAACTGAAATTGTTGTAACATCAAAGTTGTCACTAGCCACTTAGCAAGTAAGTTGAAAAGTTAGTGTCAAGCCCTGACATATATGTGTTACCTGCATTCTTCTGTTGAGTTCACAATTGGCAATGACTTTTTCTTGAATTCCTGATAATTCTAAAAAAGAAACGAAAAGCCATGATAAAGTCAGTAAAATCTATGCAGTAAATATAAAGGGATGTCATAACACATATTACCGGTAAGTATCTGTGATGCATTTCAGATTTCCTAATTTCATGACATTTATAGTTTTGTACCTTAATAAATTCAAAAGGAAAATAGAAAACTGGGCCTGATTTTTCAAAGAGCAGATAATGCTATCTAATGCATAGATTGCTATCCAGCATATAAGAGTTTCCAAAACCTACAGCACTATCCACTTTAGTTTTTAGTTTCTAAAGATTTGTACATTGTACAGGTGGAAGAACAATTGGACATGTAGTCCCCTACTAGGTTCATCCACCGAAAACCAACCCACTCATCTCACCCCGGGGATTTGTACATTGTACAGGTGGAAGAACAATAGGACACGTAGTCCCCTATTAGGTTCATCCACCGAAACCCAACTCACCCATCCCACCCCAGGGAAGGACATACATCACACAGTTATCTTGTGCATGGGAAATTAACATCTCCTACCCCTAACCCTGCAGGAGACGGGACCTCCATTTATTTGTCCCTATCCGAGAAGACTAGAATATCTAACCATTTCTTGATGTTATAGAAAGGTAGCAAATTCTTCTCAATTATTTTAAGACCTTGAGTGTTGGTCTGGCCGGGGCTTGAACCCTCGACCTCCCGCACAACAGTCCAGCGCTCTATCCATTGAGCTAACTGGGAGGCGGTTTTGATAGAGATTTATCCCATGCATAGCATTATCCACCCGTCCAACAACCAGGGCCTGAAAGAAAAGAGAATGAATAGAAAAAAAAGGAAGGAAAGAGAGGGAAAACAAAATCTAAAGCAAATAAAGAAACTAGGAAATTAACCCCAGGGTCTCACATAGCCATCTGTCACCTTTAGAACTCACATTGACTTAAGACCATCTGTTACCTTCATCACAAAATTCCATATTTGTTACTTACAGCTGAGGTAGACATGATAGAAAAAATTGCATGTTGCATTGTTACCTTCTGATTTTTCTTTGTCGGGAACATTTGCCATGTCATCCTATAAAATGTTTTCAACATCAAAGACAAAACATCATTTAAATAACAAATCAGCCATATTTCATTAATGTTAAAAAAACTTTTTGTATTTGGCAAAATGGCAGAAAGAACTGAAACTTTAAAACTTAGAGACTTAAAATACAAAAAAAAAAAAAAGTTTAAACAGTACAAATTCTTACTGCAATCCTTTTCTCCAAGAACTGTAAATACATCTCAGCTCTAGCATTCATCACAACAACTTCGCGCAGGACAACATCAAGCTCTCTTGGGTCATACCTCAAAAACACAACAATGTTATAAATACTTCATTCATGTTTTATTTCAAACAGCTCCTATAAAACTGTGAATAATTTCACACTGCTCCTTTTACATTTCCATTGGTGCTAACAGGGAATATTTGTTAGATAATCAGGAGCTTCTAAAATTGCTGATCATTTGCTTTATTCTCAGGACTTTTCCATTTGATTTAAGTGTGATTCTGTACTGAGAAATTATAGGCCAGACATTCTTTGGGGTTAGCGAGCCAAAAAAATGCTGTTGTCTAAGCAAAGACTTCAACTTGACTTGTTCTGTCTCTAATATCTATCAATCTTTAAGAGCTCATCTCCATGACTAGAAATTATCTCCTGAACCTGGTGAACACACAATAGGCACATACGTGATATTTCTACATCCTTGTTCTTTAGATCCATCTCAGAAGTTATGGATCCTCACTTTTCCCTTCAATTATTGAACCAAGAATGGCACCTCTAGGTCTAATTCTCCTTATGATAATTGTTTCCAGTTAACAAAAGCTAATGTAAACTTACCTATCAAGGTTAGCAGAAGAACCTCTGAAGGTTTGACTACCTTGAACAGATTTGAACTAGAGACAAAAAAATTTTAGTCTTATGAACACAAGGCACCTCATGTAGTTTTCTCAGTCTACACTTGTCACAAAATGTAGTTTTTCTGTTACATCTACCAATGTCTAACTAAAAGTGAAGATACATTGACCTTCTGTGCTAGCAACATTGTTCTTTGACAATGAACTAACTACTGTAAATGTAAAGAAAAAAGATTGAATGAGATGGAAATTTTCAAAGAACCGTAATAATAGAGCTGCACACCCTGTATTTGGGATGCAGTTATATTTATCACTCAATCTGCTCCTCAATCAATGTTATGAGTTTGTTTGTAAACAAGTAAAATAATTTTTATGATCAGTTAAGTAACAACAGAAGCAGATAATCCCATAAGGTCGTAGTAGTAGCAAGTATGATAAATATTGTAAGCAATAGACAACTTTTTTGAGAGACATGTTTTGGCATGCTTATGCCATCTTCAATTAATGAATAACAGAACGTGAGTAATTAATATATATTAACAGACAAGTAGATGAATAAAATATTTACAGTATGATGTAATACAAAAGCGGGTACTAATTACAACGTGACACCAAACATCAAAGGTGTGAACTAAAACACTAGAGAAGTGTTATAATGCTGTAATTTAAACAAACAATTACAGCATTAACAAGAACTAACAGAACTTAACAAACAATTAAAACTTAACAAACAATAACAGAACTTAACAAACAATTACAGCATTATAACACTTTTCTAGCATTTTAGTTCACACCTTTGATGTTTGGTGTCACGTTGTAATTAGTACCATCTTTTGTATTACATCATACTGTAAACATTTTATTCATCTACTTGTCTGTTATATAATTACTCAAGTTCTGTTACTCATTGATTGAAGATGGCATAAGCATGCCGAAACATGTCTCTCAAAGAAGTTGTCTATTTCTTACAAGAAGCAGATAACCTAGGTTGTAAGCTTCTGGTAACAATGATTATCATGACTGAAGTCAAATTCTTCCACTTCACGAGTACCTTTTCTGTGAACTGTCTCTTTTTTATAAACTGGTCCACAACTTGATTAACTTGCTTGTCACACTCAGCCTATGTGCAAGTATTCATAAAAAAAAAAAAAGTGCTCCATTCAAATAATGGAACCACATTGTGATGATCTTCATCTATAATCCTTGGAATAATTTTTAAGATTGATACTTCCAACAAAACAATTGAAAACAAACATAAACATAATGTCCATTAAACTGAGCTGAGGGAAAACATTTCAAAAGGAAATGTATGCAGTTCGGGATAAAGAAAATGAAAACTGAGACAAATTCAAGTAGTACCTTTATAAAAACTGTAAGTCTAGAAGAAATAAAAATATAAAATTATAATTGATCGAAATCAAATTAAAACAATAAACCAAATACCTGCATAGCCTGCAGCAAAATAAACATTTTTCCAGGACCTACCAGAAGAAACAATTGACTGAGAATTTACTATTTGGTACAACCAGTTGGTGACTATATGCCATGTAAGAGCTCCACAACACATTCACATATACAAAGAGCATCTAAAGGACTTTGAGAGGTAATTAACAAATTAACAGTGGTTTAGCATGAATTGTACTTTTATGAACAATGATATTTGTCATGACAGTGGTCAAAATGTTGGCAGTGCTTCACGAGTCCCCAACAAATTTTGACCACTGTAAGGACAAATATTATTGGCAATAAGAGTACAGATCATGCTAAACCACTGTCAATTTGATTTTACCACAGTGTAACAGACTGTTGTGTGACATAGTGCCCAAATATGGTAGCTCCGTATTTGGGGCTTGCCATGTGGTCGAGAGCAGAGCAGATTGTAAGTGTGTGTGGCTGGCAGACGATATTAAAATCTGAAAAATCAAGTGGTCTTCGCATTCTGTGTTAGTGAACCCAGGTTACGGTAACAACAGTATACACATTGAGGTTAGAAGCCTTGTCTGTACTCTTATCAACAATTATGGCAAATTGGCCAATCAAATTACAAAATTACTGCCAATTGTGGTAAAATTTAAAGTTGCCACACAATGGCCTCACCATAATAAGTCTCTACAAATGGCTGATGTTCTTCCACCATACGTGCAATGTTCTCAAACAGTAAAGTGAGAGTATTTGCAAACACAACATTGACATGACGATCTAAAAAGAAGAAAAGTGGAAGATCAAGTAATCGTGCTCCTCTATGTAAGAACTAACCATAACTTTATCCTAGCCCATTAAATTGTAAGCTTCCATCAACAACAACAATTCTTTTAAATACAACACTCAACTGGACAATCATAATGCAGGAATAAATGTTACAGTCAGGTTCCAATCAGTGACTGAATACAACAGCACATCAAAAATTTTGGAGCAGTTTACAAGTGCAAAAATGCAAAATTTATAACCAAGGTACTCCACAACAAAAATCATAATTAAGTAAATATGACAAAGGAAGAAAATTTAAACCTTTACACCCTAACATCAGTATGCATATTCTCCATACTGTTCTCTATACATTTCCTAAGGTGCTGACAAGGAGAATTTGTTCAACAATCATTGGCTCCTACAGTGCTCTTTTCCTTTATCCTTGTGACTTGAATGTGTGATTCAAGGGTGATATTGTAAGGAGAAAACAATTGAAAAAGAAACTAACAATCTCAGTCAGTAAAATTTATCGGTAAAATCATTCACCTGAATCTTTGACAGCCACAGCATTGTCCAAATTCTTTTGGCACTGGGCAGCAATCTAATGCAGGAAACAGAACTTATCCATTGTTGTTTAAAACGATTTAAAGTAAAAATAATCTTAAACTACTGATATTCTGCGCTTCTCTCTATGTAAGGACTGTGGTTATGTGCCCATAACAAAGGTTCATGAAATCACACTAGTTTAAAATAAATTTGACCTGAAATTACTTTTGAATTACAACATACTCATTGCATGTATCTTTTTTTTTTTTTGCAATCAAACAGGACACAGAGACAAATTAAAGTTAATGTGAGTTATGATGAAGTAAGGTTTGCCATAAAGACTAGCTACATTATTTAGAAAAAAATATAGCAAAGAGTTAAGAAGAAAGATGTCTAAGATCCCTGATTCCCAGAAAAACAAAGACATTATTTAAACATATTCCCTTTTGATAGCTTGAGGAGAACAGATATGAATAAACAGGGAGAAACTGCAACTCTCTCAAGCTGAAATTTCACTCCAATCTTAATATATAATGACCATTTATCCTTACATGCAAGGTTGAGCATATATTTCTGAAGATCTAGGAAACAAGTTTATAAGGGACACACCTGTGTGCACAAATATCTTGCATACTTTTCAAGTCCAACTTGATGTTGACCCAGTAGAGGAAAAATTTTGAAAAACCTTTAAAAAAAGGCAGTAACCAAACATTACTTAGAGTTCCTTTTTTTCTTTTGCAATTTTCCCAGGCACTTACCCATTTCACAAAAACACATAAACAATTATTATACTGCAATACTAAAACTAAGAAATTTAATTACAAAGCAATGAAATTTAAGCTAATTTTACAAATCATGGCAGAACACAAAGATGCACAACACAAAAAAAATAAATCCCAAACTACATAGTCATGCAATACATATTCATTACCTAACAAACCAAAGAATAAATTGTCAAAAATTGTCAGTCAGTTACCTTTCTACAGAGCCCCTATCACCATTCTGTATAGCAGCCTCAAACTTATCATTTACTATTCTTTTAAGTTTTGTCTCTGCTTCGTGAAGCAACTCAAAGGCTCCTGCTAAGTCAGAACCTAAAGGAAAATAAAATTACATATTTAAGAAATCCATTATAGCCACAAAAAGGTAACTACTGGACAGATGCAAGGTTCAGTAAGGTCAAGCGAGAAGCATAGAGGTTAACATAAATAAAAAATCTCATTTCTTGGGCTGGTATATACATGTATTTATTACACGACTCAGGCAGTCAGAGGGCCAATAACTAAAATCAACCAATCAAAATGCTCTATTGCCGGTCAATATTCTCTCAGTATTGGACCGGGCACTGTCCTGAATGGTCCCGAATGATACCGCACTTGTGTCCCTTTGAACTTCAGTCGTATAATAAATCTCTTATTAACCAAGCTTGCTCGGGATCGTACTGGAAGAATATCGGCGCTCAATCCATACTGTCAAGACCTCGGGCCAATGTTCTCCCAGTATGGCCCTCGCGCTTGGTTAATAAGATATATATATCTTCATAAACGAGAATATTTACTTATCAACTTAATTAGTTACATTGAACAGAAATAAAGTATTTGAGATGAAGTCTTGTTGTGAGATAGTAAACTAACACAAAGCCTCTCTCCTTACAGTAGTTTATATGAGCCATAGTTTATATGAGCCATTCAACTATCAAGCAAATCCGAAAACATTTTAGAAGTTACCTAACATACACTACAAAATATTCCCTTTAGGAGAAGAAACAATGTAACTGGTTATTCCATAATTTATATATGAATACTTTAAAGTTCCAGCAGTAAAGGGTGGCTAATATGGCATATGTCATACAAATTAATAATCCACAATAATCCAAATGCAGCAATAAATGGTACAGTAACTGTAACCTTTTTTGGAGTCTCCTGCAATATCTTTGAGAACCTGTTCATCCAAGTTAAGATATCTGTGAATATGTGCTGCAGCCTAGAGAAACAAATTTGCACAGACAACCAACAAAAATTGTTTAGGTCATTGTTACAATTATAATAATTATTTCTGATCTAGCATGAATCATTCAAAATAATTAAGTCACTTAACATCTGGACATCAACTACAATGAAAAAACAACAATTCAATTATTGTAGTCTGCTATTTCTTACTTCCAGAGAGAGGTTTACTTAACATCAATATCACAAGCCTGAGTCTGGTGCCAAAGATGGTAACATACCTCCATTGGTTTTTGATGGAAAGTTTTCTTTTGTATAAATTAAAAACCAGCCAAGATAAAAGACGCCTTACCTGCTCAAAGTGCTCTGTATTTAGAGCTGTTTGCACACCATCTACGCAAGCCTACAAAAAGGAATAAAAAATTTTAAAAGAGTGAATCAATCACTCTTACTAGGGGCAACTCAGCCCCTGGTAACCATTGGATTAAAATAGAAAAATAATTAGTCCAATTATTATAATCAAATATTGGCTGCAATTTAGAACACTTAAAAGCATACCAGGGTATGTATATCATTTACCTTTAAATCAAGGATGTCATCCACCCGTTTTATTGTTTCTTGGACACGATTCTGAAAGTTATGGAAAACATAATTGATAACACTTTGGTGGGCCAGTAAAGCCACAAAGAACATGTTATCAATGACTAATATACATAATTGCAAATTCTAGTAAATTAATACATTTTTGTTTTACCAATCCCACCGATAAGTTATGACCAACCTTGACAAGATCGAGTAGTCGCACTTTACTGCTGACTTTTTCAGCCAAATCTGATGTATTAGAAATCATGGTGTGTAGATGTTGGGCATCTCTCATTACCAACTGTAGATTTGGACTAAAAATGTAACACACCACAATATATTAATTTCAATCAGTAGCAGATGAAAATGCACCTGTAGCCACTTCAGTGATCAAATAGCAAATAACTTCACACAATTTCAGAATGACCCACTACTCAAAGAATAATTTCGTTTGATCTACTGAGTTGATAATGTTAATTGTCCACTTTAAAGAGTTCCAAAGCTAACATTTTGAGCGTCAGCCCTTCATCATTTTCTTTCATTCTTTAAATCATCGACTCAGTTGATAAAACCAAAATTACCATGTTACTCCCACTGATGAAACTTATCCCCTTTATTGATTAATCAAAGAATAGCCCAATTTCAGATGCAAACCTCTAAACATTTTACAATTTGGTTTATGCTCAAGGCATGTGTATATCAATACGGATGCACGCAGGAAGTTTGGAAAGCTTAAGAGTAAGATTTGCTTGAGGCAAAGCCGAGAGCCAGTATAGCTTCTTGAGTAACATCAGCCTTGAAATTATAATGTTTGCACTACAAATATAGATGGAATATTGGAATGTCAGAAAGAATAATGGACAGAAAAAAAACTAGACCAGCTTGTACCACAGGGGGCCCATACAATCTGTTTGTGTAGCCGACTGTTGTTTTATAGTGAATGTACCAGACTTACCGTTTGCCTCACCTATAATGATATATTGCTGACTATGTACATAAATCATTGATAAATAAACGTTGAATTACTTTACCTGTGGTGTATAGTCATCCTTTTTCCTCAAAAATGTTTTTTTTTAGTGATTTTGAATAAGTCCGAGTTTTTCGTTAATGTAACGCATAAGAGAAAGACAAGGGTGGAAGCCTTGTTTCGAAAGGGTTCAAGCACCCGAGCGATTTTCCCCCCTGAAAATTGCATTGCTCCACTTTCAAACTTTGCAGCATTAAGGTCAAAAGATGCATGATTCTCCTCGTACCTTTCAATTGAAAATCCATCCAAACAGACAGGAGCTAGCCCTCGAAGAAAATCAAAATCCCACAGTATTTGAGTGTCTGGGATTCGTAGCAAGATTCTCATGTCCCAGCCAGAAACCGTCACACTGATTGCCCAATTCAAAATCTGATTGACCAATTTAAAATAATGTGGTCCAATCAGAAAAGGGCAATCAGCTTGTACGAGAGTAAACTTGAAAAATCATAGTAGTCTGACTTTCTTCAACAGTCACTGAATTTTTATTTAGAAAATGTTTTTTGCAATGTTCAGTGTTTTGTCATTTTCGGAGACCCAGGGGCTGTGGGTCAATTTTAAGTTACGTCATGAAGAGCCCCTGGGGACATTGTCTTACAAGACTAGTTCCAAACGGTCGCAGTCGTTCTGCCATCTGATTGGTGCCGGAAAATCTTTGTGTTTTTCTGCCCAATCAGAGTGAAGTGTGCTTTGGAGTCCTTTCGCGTGTTGTAACACCGACAAATACTAATAGCTCAGTTGCTCACTGTGTTTGTTTGGGTCGTGCGACGGAGATTTGCTTGAGGTGAAAAGTTTCAGTCTCAGCAGACAATGTAAGAGAAATCCATCAGATTGTCCGTGAAAATCTTACCGGAAATTATACTGAATACTTTCGCAGGTATCACTAGAGAACGTGTTTTAAAGTTTGCGAGGTTTGTATACAACACGATGGTATGAGCAACTGGTACTTGTGGAACTTTCTGTGCGTGCCAAAATCTAATCTCATCTTCGCTTGAAAAAAAAGAAAAGCAAAGCATGGAAACTTTTGCTTATTAGATGTGGGTC